ATGCAGTAGTTGTGAAATATGTGTTTTGTTCATATCACTAGAGTGTTTGTATGTCCGTGTGTGATCAGCTCTGGGAAGTACCGATATCAACTTCCCCACGCCTTGGCAACTCGCAGTACGCATGCCCCATGGTGTTATTGTGGACTTTGTTACTGGTGGCTCACGGGCTTTCGTCGACTACAGCTTGACTCAAGTAACGATGATAAATTTGCCTTTTATTGTTTGATACTATTTTTTGTCAGGGTGCTGGAGGAAATGAGAATATTGTTCTTCTCGACAACGGAACTTTCATAGTGAGTTCGAGGGTGTCTTTCGTAAAAAATAGGAGTTTCACGACCCGTTTTACGTGAAGTGGTGTATTACTCCATGTGAAAAACGCGATATGAAAAGAATTGAAATCACTTTACATAAGACGAGTCACCCCATATCACGTAAAACATGTATGTTGTTGTTGTTGTTGTTGTTGTTGTTGTTGTTGTTGTTGTTCTTATTCAGGCTAAAGACGCGTATTATACATTTGGGCAAGTAACTCGTTATGTGAGGAAAGGATCATATGTTCTTTCATCTGTTGAAGTAGTGAATCCTGGAAAACCCGCAGATGGTATACACCCGGCAGGGGTAGAGGCTATGGCTACTATCAATCCTGATAGAACTGAAGTCGTTATTCTTGTGAGCTCATAGCATTTTATCATTTCAGTTCTCTAACAAAAGTCTTTTTTAGATAATACGTGATGAGGAAGACAAGGAGCATGCGTCTACGTTTGATATCGATGTTGAACTTGGTGACGGTCAGCATGTTACAGTTACCCTTGAGAATGTTGAGAACCTCAGTGTTTCAACACTCGTTGTAAAGGGTAGATTTTGACCCGTCTGCTATCCACGGATTCACCCAATGTGAATGTGGATGTCACGTGTCCAGGGTTCTTTCGGTTGACTTCGATTACGGAGTCTTAATATTATGTGAGAATTCTGAGACTATTATTATTCTTCTTGTTTGTCAACGATCGTTCATCAAGATCTTCAGTCCCATT